CACTTATCCATGAACTTCATTGTAGATCTTCCTTCATCTGGTGGACAGACAGTAATTTTGACTGTGACCGATAGGTTCTCTAAAATGGCACACTTTATTCCACTTAAGAAACTACCTTCTGCGGTTCAGTTGGCTCAAGTATTTGCCAAAGAGGTGTTCCACTTGCATGGTATACCACAGGATATCGTATCCGACAGGGGTCCTCAATTTGTCTCTCGGTTTTGGAGGGGCTTTTGTGCTGAGATGGGAATCTCCTTGTCATTTATGTCCTCCTATCATCCACAATCTAATGGAGCCGCCGAACGAGCAAATCAATCTGTAGAGTTATATTTACGCTGCTTCACGAATGCGCACCAGGACAACTGGTCCTTCCCTGGGCTGAATTCGCCAGGAACACTGTGACTCATTCGTCCACTGGCTTAAGTCCTTTTATGGTTGCTTATGGGTTCCAACCCTCTATCCTTCCTGGCGTGTCCTTACGGAAGATGTGGGATCAGGTCCATGCTACTCTTTCTCGTGCGACTGCTAGTCAGAAGAGATTTGCTGATCGTTGTAGGGGTGCTGCTCCTTCTTATTTCCCGGGTGATAGGGTTTGGTTGTCCTCTAAGAATCTCCACCGCAGGGGCCCCTCTAAGGTATTGCGTAAGATCAATCCTGTGTCCTACTCCCTGGCCTTGCACATACCTTACACTTTTCACACCTCCCTTTTGAAGCCCCTGCTCTGTAATCGATTCTCTGATCCTCTCAGGCGTCCGGATTCCCTCCACGCTGTCTCCAGTGACATGTACGAAGTGGCTGCTCTATTCTCATTTTTCTCAGGGTCGGTTGCAGTATCTGGTAGATTGGAAGGGTTACAGCCCTGAGGAGCGGTCTTGGGTTACTGCCTCTGACTGGAATGCACCCTCTTTGATCCACTCATGCCCGGTTTCCTTTGAAGCCATCGGCTGGTCCTCGAGGGGGGGGTTATGTCACAGGCAGCTGTGAGGGGAGGCTGCACACCACTTGCAGCACTCACCCTCAGTCCATCGCCGCCCGCGGTCTCCCCTCCACCACATACTTGTCGGCGAGCGGCATCTCCTCTCCGCCACGCCTCCCAGCAGCAGGTATAACGCTGCGCAAATTTATGCAAACGCCGGGATCACTCACGTGAAGCAACAGTACCACAATCACAGTGGGAGGCATAGATATCTCCCACGTGTGATTGTTAATTCTGATTGGAAGTTATCCAATCAGGAGCTCATGGCAAACTCCTATAATAATGGAGAGTTTGTCACAACGACTAACCCTGTTTGGTCCCATAAGTGCCCAGCAGGGGATTTGAACCTGGGATCTTGGTAGTCCTGGGCCTACTGAGCCACAGCAGACCTTTGAGCCACAGCAGCTTTGTTTTTTTTCAAGCTGTGCTTCACCTGACCCTGATCAGATATCAGCAGGGTATATAAACTCAGCCTCGCCCTGTGAACTTTATCAAGTCTTTGATCCTGTTGTGTGTGTTCCGTACTAGTCTTCCTGTCGTTTGATATTCTACTTCTTATTGACCCCGGCTTCTGACATCGTTTACTCTGACCTCTGGTATCCCTTGACTTCGGCTACTATTTGTTGATCCTGACCTCTGGCATCCTTTGACCTTCGGCTATCCCTTGTCTATACTGCTGTTTGTGTACTTGCCTGTACTGTGACTTGGAACATAATCCAGCACAGCCCCCGTGCACAGACTCACAGGCCAGGTGAATTCTTACCTGACCACCTTGGCCTGTGTCTATTTGCAACATATCTGCGCTACAGACTCCCAACTCAGGTAAGATCCTGACAACCAGCTAGGTTGGCAGTTTTGTCGGTGCCTGCAGGGACAGGCTTTTCTGTGCCTGGGAGACAAATAGACAGTCCCTTTTCCCCGCACCTGGACTCCCAGGACCCCCTGTGTTCACAGTGGTGGGCTTTGGATACAAAGGGAACAAAGATCATTCCCATGCTAGGATCCCAGGGAGGGGGAGGATCTTGGGATGTGACATTGTCTGTTTGCGTGGGAGACCCCTTGCACGGGGTTATGCATAAAGGCCGTGTGTGGCCAATAAAGTGCTGTTGTACCTCCAGGACTGTGTGTCGTCCAGTCACAGGGGGAAATGGGTCTATTTGCAGTTTAAATGCTTCCTGACCAGCTGAAGGAAGGGAATTAGCGAAGGTAACCAGTTGGGTTACCTATGGTCCACTACAATTATTATGACATATTATTATGTATTATTATTTTATTTATTATTACATATTTTTTATTATAATAAAAATTATTGTGACAGACCACCAGGCACCCTGACCGAGTACCTCAGTCAATCGCTGCTTCCTCGTACTTGCGAGCACCATAAGCACTGCACCATAACCCCACAAACTGCCGCAGCTTGGTTGGGGTCTCGCTATCCTCCACCCACTCTGGACCCAAGACCAGGATCCAGCTTCCAGTGGGTAGACCTCTCCTAGTCCAGAGAGCGAAGCAGGCTGCTCTTACAAGAGCAATCGTTGTGATCCAAGGGCGTATAGTGATTATAGCAATCCCCAGAGTGAATATAGCTCTCAAATCCTCCAAACATGAGCCTAGACTTCATGAAAGGTAAAACAAATCTCATTTAATGGTAGCTACAACTGGCCTTTTAAGACAGTCCCCATGCAAGGGGCACTCCACCCTGGACCTGAGAGTAAGCCACAGTAGAAACAAATGCACAATCACGTTGGTTCTCAGGTCCAGGACACTCCCATACACAATAGGTCAATCTCTCCCCTATGCCTGGGAGATAATTGAGTCAAGCACTATACTAAACTCAATTATCTCCAAACACAAAAAACACAAAGAAAACCAAAAATACCTTAAAACACACAAACCCCCCACAAAATTTACATCCCTTGATAGCCCTGATATGGGTGACGTACATATCCAAAAATCACCTAGTTTACTTCGGGGGTTTAGGAATTTCCTGGAAGTCATAGTTTTGGCTAACCGCCCGCATGGTCCCATGCCCAAAACAGTTCCATAGAATTGCGGCTAAGTGCCACTGGAGGACCGACTGAGAATCGCAAAGTTTTTATGCCGAAAATAGTTCCAGGGCATTCGCGGCTAAGTCCCCCTGAAGTCTATTCGCGGTTTTGGACCATGCGAACGGCCGCCAGTGAGCTAGCATTCGGTTCTATGGAAAGTGCCAAACCAGGAGAACTACGGGGAATAAAATATGGGTCTTTACAGTTGCTGACCTGGCCCATAGTCCTGAGGTAAGAGGCTGGCCAGCAGGCCCTTCCAAGAACACGTAACGAGGCTCAGTTTGTCACAATTATTATTACGTATTATTACTACATATTACACTTTAAATGCTTCCTGACTGGCTGGAGCAAGGGAATTAGTTGAGAGAACCAGTCGGGTTACCCATGGTCCGCTACAAGTGTTGGCAACCGTCAAGATTGTACTTCCCAGCCAAAAACCAATGTTTAGTGTAGTCCATGACGGTCACTAGAGGTGCTTCCTGTGTCAGTGCGGATCGGCTGAGATCATCAAGCTTGATTATCTCAGCCGTAGAGGCAGGGCCAGTCGAGGGGAGACCAGCACAACGTGGGGGGGGTAAGGTGAGTAAAACTTACATACACACACACATACCATGACAGACACACACCATGACAGACACGCAACATGACACAGACACACACACCGTGACAGACAGAAACACACACACCGTGACACAGACAGAAACAGACACACCATGACACAGACAGACACACACACACCATGACAGAGACACACACATACCATGCAAGACACACACACCATGACAGACACACACCTTAAAAAAGACACACACACCTTGACACACACACACACACCATAACACAGACAGACCGTGACACAGACACACACCATGACACACAGACACACACACACCACGACACAGAGAGACTGTGACACAGACAGACACACATTACATGACACAGACAGACACACACACCATAGCAAACATACACACACCATGACACAGACAGACCGTGACACAGACAGACACACATTACATGACACACACACACCATGACACAGACACACATTGCATGACACAGACAGACACACATTACATAACACACACCCCATGACACAGACAGACGCACACTCCATGACACAGACACACACAATGACACAGACAGACACACACAATGACACCGACAGACACACACCCACACCATGACACAGACAAAGACACACACACACACCATGACACAGACAGAGACACACACACACCATGACACAGACAGAGACAGACACACACACACCATGACACAGACAGAGACACACACACATCATGACCAAGACAGAGACACACACACATCATGACACAGACAGAGACAGACACACACACCATGACACATACAGACACACACACAGACACACACACACATACACTCACACTGACACACAATTTCTAACTGTGGGGAAGCTCTTTAGGCGGCCGCAGGGGGAGCAGGCTGTTCTTGAGGCCGCAGGGGGAGCTGGCTGTTCGGTCTCTGCTCCCCCTCCCCAGCACACTACATAGAGACCGGGGCAGGAATATGACGTCATATTCCGGCCCCGGTCTCTTTGTAGTGCGCTGGGGAGAGGGAGCAGAGACAGAACAGCCTGCTCCCCCTGCGGCCTCCATAACAGCCTGCTCCCCCTGCGGCCGCCTAAAGAGTTTCCTCTGCGGCCGCAGGTGAGCCAGCTGCCTGCCCGGCCCCAGGCCCTGCCGTGAGCACTCCCCCAGACATCCCCCAAGACGATCCGTTGGGATCAGACTGTGTATGCCAGCTTCCGTTTAAGGGGAGCTGTGTGGCGGAACCTGTCTGTGAATTACCTTTCTTTATTTTGTGTGTGTTTACACCATTATTTCTTTTATTGTGCCCGCTACCCATTCAGGAGGTCCTCCACTAAGGGAATCCATTCACATCCTGAAGGGGGACCCCCCCATACATCATTTAGAATGTTAGAACATTCACACCTCGTTATATAGGTGTCAAACCGCAAAGGGAAACATTTAATGAGTGCTTGTCCTGGGTGGCCACCATTCGTATGGATTGTTTCCTGACTCGTTCGTCTCTCAAACGAGGACCTCCCCGGTGCCACATTGGAACGTTCACACCAATTAAGTCAGAACGTTCGCACTTGCAACATAAGTGTGAAACCGCAAGGGAAGTAATTAAAATGCTCCCCTGTCCAGGTGGAGCATTCGTATCCCAAAAGGAGATGCTTTCCTTGCCAGATTTCACACAGGGACCTCACGAGCGGAGCCTGGTCGAGGAAGGCGCCGCTGTGAGGTTCCCTGAGGTTGGTGGAGACACTCATGGGGCACAGGCCTGCAGGAACAAACAGACTTTCCCAGCTTACGGCCTTTTCTGTGCCTGGGAGACAAAGGGACGGTCCCTTTTTCCCGCGCCTGGACACCCAGGCACAGAGGCTCCTGGGAAGAAGACCCCTGGCTGTTGGCGTGGGAAACTCTATATTCACAGGGGCAGACTTTGGGGACAAAGGGAACAAAGTCCCTTCCACGCTAGGGTCACAGGAAGGGAGAGGATCTTGGGATGTGACCATGTCTGTTTGTGTGGGAAACCCCTTTCATGGGTTTATGCATAAAAGCCGTATGTGACCAATAAAATGTTGTTGTGCCTCCAGGACCATGTGTTGTCCAGTTACTGGGGGGAAAATTTTTGTACCCTGAGCAGCTGAAGGAAGGGAATTACCAGTGGTAACCAGATGGGTTACCCGTTGTCCACTACAATTATTATGACATATTATTACATATTATTATTATTACTTGATGATATTATTACTTATTACATATTTTTTATTTTAATAAGGTATTATTATTAGATATTATTATCATGTATTATGACACATTATTTATATTATTATTATTGCAGCACACTGCGCAGTGTGTAGACTAGTTGGCACAGGGTTATCCCTTCGACATTGGGCCCAGACACAGGATATGGAGGTGACAGGATGGGAATCGCTCCAGACGGATCTTCCTTTCCAGATATTTATGGATGTAGTCTAAACAGCATCCGCTCCCAGGAGAGTCTTGGCATTTGAATAGAATAGCTGTACACACCCTAAGACAGACCCCTGTGTGACAGATAGCCCTGTGTGACAACCCCATGTGTGACAGCTCTGTATAACAGCCCCATGTGTGACAGATAGCTGTGTGTGTTGCAGTGACAGATAGCTGTGTGTGATACACTGACAGATAGCTGTGTGTGTTAGAGTGGCAAATAGCGGTGTGTGATAAAGTGACAGATAGCTGTGTGTGTGTTACAGTGACAGATAGCTGTGTGTGATACAGTGATAGGTGTGTATGTTACAGTGACAGATAGCTGTGTGTGATACAGTGATAGCTGTGTGTGTTACAGTGACAGATAGCTGTGTGTGTTACAGTGATAGCTGTGTGTGTTACAGTGACAGATAGCTGTGTGTGATACAGTGATAGGTGTGTATGTTACAGTGACAGATAGCTGTGTGTGCTACAGTGATAGCTGTGTGTGTTACAGTGACAGATAGCTGTGTGTGTTACAGTGATAGCTGTGTGTGTTACAGTGACAGATAGCTGTGTGTGTTAGAGTGACAAATAGCTGTGTGTGTTACAGTGACAGATAGCTGTGTGTGTTAGAGTGACAAATAGCTGTGTGTGTTACAGTGATAGGTGTGTATGTTACAGTGACAGATAGCTGTGTGTGATACAGTGATAGCTGTGTGTGTTACAGTGACAGATAGCTGTGTGTGTTACAGTGATAGCTGTGTGTGTTACAGTGACAGATAGCTGTGTGTGTTAGAGTGACAAATAGCTGTGTGTGTTACAGTGACAAATAGCTGTGTGTGTTACAGTGACAGATAGCTGTGTGTGTTACAGTGATAGCTGTGTGTGTTACAGTGACAGATAGCTGTGTGTGTTAGAGTGAAAAATAGCTGTGTGTGTTACAGTGACAGATAGCTGTGTGTGATACAGTGATAGGTGTGTATGTTACAGTGACAGATAGCTGTGTGTGATACAGTGATAGCTGTGTGTGTTACAGTGACAGATAGCTGTGTGTGTTACAGTGATAGCTGTGTGTGTTACAGTGACAGATAGCTGTGTGTGTTACAGTGACAAATAGCTGTGTGTGTTACAGTGGCAGATAGCTGTGTGTGATACAGTGATAGCTGTGTGTGTTACAGTGACAGATAGCTGTGTGTGTTAGAGTGACAAATAGCTGTGTGTGTTACAGTGACAGATAGCTGTGTGTGATACAATGATAGCTGTGTGTGTTACAGTGACAGATAGCTGTGTGTGTTGAAGTGACAAATAGCTGTGTGTGTTACAGTGATAGCTGTGTGTGTTACAGTGACAGATAGCTGTGTGTGTTAGAGTGACAAATAGCTGTGTGTGTTACAGTGACAGATAGCTGTGTGTGATACAGTGATAGGTGTGTATGTTACAGTGACAGATAGCTGTATTGTTAAGTGACAAATAGCTGTATATGTTACAGTTACAGATAGCTGTATTGTGATACAGTGATAGCTATGTATTATTTACAGTGACAGATAGCTGTGTATTATTTACAGTGACAAATAGCTGTATTTACAGTGACGAATAGCTGTGTGAGATACAGTATTAGCTATGTATTATTTACGAGCAGATAGCTGTGTGATACGTGACCGCTGTGTGTATTTACAGTGACGAAAGATAGCTTGGTATTGTTACAGTGATAGCTGTGTAGTATTTACAGTGACGAGATAGCTGTGTGTGATACAGTGATAGGTGTGTATTATTTACAGTGACGAATGGCTGTAGTATTGCTACAGTGATAGCCTTATTGTTTACAGTGACAGATAGCTGTGTGTGTTAGAGTGACAAATAGCTGTGTGTGTTACAGTGACAGATAGCTGTGTGTGTTACAGTGACAGATAGCTGTGTGTGTACAGTGATAGGTGTGTATGTTACAGTGACAGATAGCTGTGTGTGATACAGTGATAGCTGTGTGTGTTACAGTGACAGATAGCTGTGTGTGTTACAGTGATAGCTGTGTGTGTTACAGTGACAGATAGCTGTGTGTGTTAGAGTGACAAATAGCTGTGTGTGTTACAGTGACAGATAGCTGTGTGTGTTAGAGTGACAAATAGCTGTGTGTGTTACAGTGATAGGTGTGTATGTTACAGTGACAGATAGCTGTGTGTGATACAGTGATAGCTGTGTGTGTTACAGTGACAGATAGCTGTGTGTGTTACAGTGATAGCTGTGTGTGTTACAGTGACAGATAGCTGTGTGTGTTAGAGTGACAAATAGCTGTGTGTGTTACAGTGGCAGATAGCTGTGTGTGATACAGTGATAGCTGTGTGTGTTACAGTGACAGATAGCTGTGTGTGTTAGAGTGACAAATAGCTGTGTATGTTACAGTTACAGATAGCTGTGTGTGATACAGTGATAGCTATGTGTGTTACAGTGACAGATAGCTGTGTGTGTTACAGTGACAAATAGCTGTGTGTGTTACAGTGACAAATAGCTGTGTGTGTTACAGTGACAGATAGCTGTGTGAGATACAGTGATGGCTATGTGTGTTACAGTGACAGATAGCTGTGTGTGATACAGTGATAGCTGTGTGTTTTACAGTGACAGATAGCTGTGTGTGTTAGAGTGACAAATAGCTGTGTGTGATAAAGTGACAAATAGCTGTGTGTGTGTTACAGTGACAGATAGCTGTGTGTAATACAGTGATAGTTGTGTGTGATACAGTGATAGCTGTGTGTGTTAGAGTGACAAATAGCTGTGTGTGTTACAGTGACAGATGGCTGTGTGTGATACAGTGACAGATAGCGGTGTGTGATACAGTGACAGATAGCTTTGTGTGTTGCAGTGACAGATAGCTGTGTGTGATACAGTGATAGGTGTGTATGTTACAGTGACAGATAGCTGTGTGTGATACAGTGACAGATAGCTCTGTGTGATGTGTAATCTGACACTGTAAAACTCCCAGTAATGTGTCTCGGTGTATAACAGAGCTCCACAGCAATAATACTCCCAGTAATGTGTCTGAGTGTATAACAGAGCTCCACAGCAATAATACTCCCAGTAATGTACCTGAGTGTGTAACAGAGCTCCACAGCAATAATACTCCCAGTAATGTGTCTGAGTGTATAACAGAGCTCCACAGCAATAATACTCCCAGTAATGTGTCTGAGTGTATAACAGAGCTCCACAGCAATAATACTCCCAGTAATGTGTCTGAGTGTATAACAGAGCTCCACAGCAATAATACTTCCAGTAATGTGTATGAGTGTATAACAGAGCTCCACAGCAATAATACTCCCAGTAATGTGTCTGAGTGTATAACAGAGCTCCACAGCAATAATACTCCCAGTAATGTGTCTGAGTGTATAACAGACCTCCACAGCAATAATACTCCCAGTAATGTGTCTGAGTGTATAACAGAGCTCCACAGCAATAATACTCCCACAATGTGTCTGAGTGTATAACAGATCTCCATAGCAATAATACTCCCAGTAACGTGTCTGAGTGTATAACAGAGCTCCACAGCAATAATACTCCCAATAATGTGTCTGAGTGTATAACAGAGCTCCACTGCAATAATACTCCCAGTAATGTGTCTGAGTGTATAACAGAACTCCACTGCGATAATACTCCCAGTAATGTGTCTGGGTGTATAACAGAGCTCCACAGCAATAATACTCCCAGTAATGTGTCTGAGTGTGTAACAGAGCTCCACAGCAATAATACTCCCAGTAATGTGTCTGAGTGTATAACAGAGCTCCACTGCAAGAATACTCCCAGTAATCTGTCTGAGTGTATAACAGAACTCCACTGTGATAATACTCCCAGTAATGTGTCTGAGTGTATAACAGAGCTCCACAGCAATAATACTCCCAGTAATGTGTCTGAGTGTATAACAGAGCTCCCCAGCAATAATACTCCCAGTAATGTGTCTGAGTGTATAACAGAGCTCACAGCAATAATACTCCCAGTAATGTGTCTGAGTGTATAACAGAGCTCCCCAGCAATAATACTCCCAGTAATGTGTCTGAGTGTATAACAGAGCGTCACAGCAATAATACTCCCAGTAATGTGTCTGTGTATAACAGAGCTCCACAGCAATAATACTCCCAGTAATGTGCCTGAGTGTATAACAGAGCTCCACAGCAATAATACTCCCAGTAATGTGTCTGATTGTATAACAGAGCTCCACAGCAATAATACTCCCAGTAATGTGTCTGATTGTATAACAGAGCCCCACAGCGATAATACTCCCAGTAATGTATCTGAGTGTATAACAGAGCTCCACAGCGATAATACTCCCAGTAATGTATCTGAGTGTATAACAGAGCTCCACAGCAATAATACTCCCAGTAATGTGTCTGAGTGTATAACAAAGATCCACAGTAATAATACTCCCAGTAATGTGTCTGAGTGTGTAACAGAGCTCCACAGCAATAATACTCCCAGTAATGTGTCTGAGTGTATAACAAAGATCCACAGCAATAATACTCCCAGTAATGTGTCTGAGTGTATAACAGAGCTCCACAGCAATAATACTCCCAGTAATGTGTGGGAGTGTGTAACAGAACTCCACATCAATAATACTCCCAGTAATGTGTCTGAGTGTATAACAGAGCTCCACAGCAATAATACTCCCAGTAATGTGTCTGAGTGTGTAACAGAGCTCCACAGCAATAATACTCCCAGTAATGTGTCTGAGTGTGTAACAGAGCTCCACTGCAAGAATACTCCCAGTAATGTGTCTGAGTGTATAACAGAACTCCACTGTGATAATACTCCCAATAATGTGCCTGAGTGTATAACAGAGCTCCACAGCGATAATACTCCCAGTAATGTGTCTGAGTGTATAACAGAGCTCCACAGCGATAATACTCCCAGTAATGTGTCTGAGTGTATAACAGAGCTTCACAGCAATAATACTCCCAATAATGTGTCTGAGTGTATAACAGAGCTCCACAGCAATAATACTCCCAGTAATGTGTCTAGGTGTATAACAGAGCTCCACAGCAATAATACTCCCAGTAATGTGTCTAGGTGTATAACAGAGCTCCACAGCAATAATACTCCCAGTAATGTGTCTGAGTGTATAACAGAGCTCCACAGCAATAATACTCCCAGTTATGTGCCTGAGTGTATAACAGAGCTCCACAGCAATAATACTCCCAGTAATGTGCCTGAGTGTATAACAGAGCTCCACAGCGATAATACTCCCAGTAATGTGTCTGAGTGTATAACAGAGCTCCACAGTAATAATACTCCCAGTAATGTGTCTGGGTGTATAACAGAGCTCCACAGCGATAATACTCCCAGTAATGTGTCTGAGTGTATAACAGAGCTCCACAGTAATAATACTCCTAGTAATGTGTCTGAGTGTATAACAGAGCTCCATAGTAATAATACTCCCAGTAATGTGTCTGAGTGTATAACAGAGCTCCACAGCAATAATACTCCCAGTAATGTGTCTGAGTGTATAACAGAGCTCCACAGTAATAATACTCCCAGTAATGTGTCTGAGTGTGTAACAGAGCTCCACAGTAATAATACTCCCAGTAATGTGTCTGAGTGTATAACAGAGCTCCACAGTGATAATACTCCCAGTAATGTGTCTGAGTGTATAACAGAGCTCCACAGCGATAATACTCCCAGTAATGTGTCTGAGTGTATAACAGAGCTCCACAGTGATAATACTCCCAGTAATGTGTCTGAGTGTATAACAGAGCTCCACAGCAATAATACTCCCAGTAATGTGTCTGAGTGTATAACAGAGCTCCACAGCAATAATACTCCCAGTAATGTGTCTGAGTGTATAACAGAGCTCCACAGCAATAATACTCCCAGTAATGTGTCTGAGTGTATAACAGAGCTCCACAGCAATAATACTCCCAGTAATGTGTCTGAGTGTATAACAGAGCTCCACAGCAATAATACTCCCAGTAATGTGTCTGAGTGTATAACAGAACTCCACTGCAAGAATACTCCCAGTAATGTGTCTGAGTGTATAACAGAACTCCACTGTGATAATACTCCCAGTAATGTGTCTGAGTGTATAACAGAGCTCCACAGCAATAATACTCCCAGTTATGTGTCTGAGTGTATAACAGAGCTCCACAGTAATAATACTCCTGTAATGTGTCTGAGTGTATAACAGAGCTCCACAGCAATAATACTCCCAGTAACGTGTCTGAGTGTATAACAGATCTCCACAGCAATAATACTCCCAGTAACGTGTCTGAGTGTATAACAGAGCTCCACAGCAATAATACTCCCAGTAATGTGTCTGAGTGTATAACAGAGCTCCACAGCAATAATACTCCCAGTAATGTGTCTGAGTGTATAAGAGCACAACAATAATACTCCCAGTAATGTGTCTGAGTGTATAACACCACAGCAATAATACTCCCAGTAATGTGTCTGAGTGTATAACAGAGCTCCACAGCAATAATACTCCCAGTAATGTGTCTGAGTGTATAACAGAGCTCCACAGCAATAATACTCCCAGTAATGTGTCTGAGTGTATAACAGAGCTCCACAGCAATAATACTCCCAGTAATGTGTCTGAGTGTATAACAGGGCTCCACAGCAATAATACTCCCAGTAATGTGTCTGAGTGTATAACAGAGCTCCACAGCAATAATTCTCCCAGTAATGTGTCTGAGTGTATAACAGGGCTCCACAGCAATAATACTCCCAGTAATGTGTCTGAGTGTATAACACAGCTCCACAGTAATAATACTCCCAGTAATGTGTCTGAGTGTATAACACAGCTCCACAGCAATAATACTCCCAGTAATGTGTCTGAGTGTATAACAGAGCTCCACAGCAATAATACTCCCAGTAACGTGTCTGAGTGTATAACAGAGCTCCACAGCATTAATACTCCCAGTAATGTGCCTGAGTGTATAACAAGTTGTCGAACAAGACAGTGGTAGTAGGCCAGGACAATGGCATTTACCAAACGGCCTGGCGAACAGGGGAAAAACACGATAATCCAATAACAGGGGGATCTGTACCACACAGGGATCGCAAGCATAAAACAGAGGGGACAACTGGGGGAAAAAGACATGGACAGCCCATAGCGGGAACAGTGGCGTACACACAAACCATGGGGCCCCAGTGTGAAACTGATCCATGGGCCCCCCAACACACACAGACACATACATAGAGACACACACACATACAGACACAAATACATACACACAGAGACATATACATACATACAGACAGACACATATACATACAGAGGCACATACATACACATAGACAGACACACAAGACACATATACACACACAAGACACACATACATACAGTCAGACACACACACACATACAGATAGACACACACAGACAGATACACAAACACATACACACACACACATACATACAAACAAAAACACATATACAAAATGTTTGTAACTCTCCTGTTTCCTACCCTTTAGGTGCAGGAGGGTGACTTTCCTTGGGGTCCTGTGGTGGCTCAGGCTGGTGGGAGTTCCCACTCCTTCCTCCCACACGGGCTCTGTCTGATAGCAAGGAGGAGTGACGGGCAGTCACTTCCTCCCAGCTGTGATGTCATAACAGAGCTCCACATGTCATCACAGGGGGCCCTGATCGCACTGTTAAAGTGCCACAGCGCTGACCGGGGCCCGCTGGAAATTCATCTCCTTCGGGTGGCCCTAACAGCATGGGCCACCCGATGGGCCCCTTGAACGTGCGGGCCCGGCAGTTTGCTGCGCGGGCCAGGGCCGCAACACATGGCAGTGGGCACCCGGTCGCAGGGGGTCGCAGGGCGGCTGGGCCCCCTGGAATGATGGGCCCGGTCGCAGCTGCAAGACCTGCGACAGGGGTATGTATGCCACTGAGCAGGAATAAGGGCACCATCCCAAGGCCCATCCCGCTACAAAAACCTTTCACGGCCGTTACACCAATTTCTATAGAACTGTTCTGGGCTTCAACCTCGTGGCTGGCCAGTCACAACTTTACCCGGGTGGCAATGCTATATTACAGAACAGATCTGAGCACTATTTGGCCAACTTGAGCGTTCAGAACCGGGCTATCCGGGGATGTGACACTTATGGTATTCCTGTTGGTATTGGGGTTACTTTAGGGAGATTGTAGCTATATTATATATGTTTCTCTGTAACTGAGAGATTATTGAGTTACAGTTTTCTGACTCAATTATCTCCCAGACACAGAGACGCCTGGGAGTGGCTTGCTATAGTTCTGTATGGAGTCTGTGTATAAATTGAGCATGTTGTGCCTCAATAAACCAGATGACTCCCAGAACTGTGTCTCATCTAGTTACTGGGGGGAATACGGGCTTAATCACACAAAGGTTCCAGTCTGGCTGAGAGGAAGAATAGTTAAACCAGCCGGTTTAACCAGATTCTGCTACGTACCTCTTGGCCAGTGTCTCTCTAATTCTCTCTAATTCCAGGAAATGTTGGGAGGTATTTATATTAGGAGTCTCAAGCGAACTCACAATAGTCGAGGGAAGGAATGATTGGTCCCTACTGAAGAAATGAATCAGGGCAGGCTATCCTGAATGATGGTGGGTGGGTAACAGCCCATGGGAGCAAATAACATTCGGCATCGCTTTTTACACCCCACCATGAGCGGTGGGCATCTCATCCTCCCATCTCCCAGATCTATGGGATAGGAGGGCAATGTGTTACAGTATTCCGGGAGTCAGGAAGCCCCCATACTGTGCTTGTCCTGGATAACTAGATGCCCATAAATCAAAACACATACTACTTACACCATCTATTTACCAGTTAAATACAGGAAATATACAAATACAACATCACAAATATATGGAAAAGAAAACGCAAAGTGTCAAATCCTGTATAGCGTGCACGGTACGCTCGGTGCTGTATAGGGACCCGGTACACTCGGTGCTGTATAGTGCGCCCGGTAAGCTCTGTGCTGTATAGCGTGCACGGTACACTCTGTGCTGTTTGTCCTTTCGGTACGCTGTGTGCTGTATAGCGTGCACGGTACACTTGGTGCTGTATAGCGCGCACTGTACGCTCGGTGCTTTATAGTGCGCACGGTACATTCTGTGCTGTATAGCTCACACGGTACTCTCGGTGCTGTATAGCGTGCCCGGTACGCTCCGTGCTGTATAACGCGCCCGGTACGCTCTGTACTGTTGGTACACTTGGTGCTGTCGGTATGCTCTGTGCTGTATAGCATGCACAGTACACTTGGTGCTGTATAGTGCACACTGTACGATTGGTACAAACACAAAGATAAAGCATCGCGCTTACAGCAACAGTAGCTTAGTATCCAACAGCTTAAAATACATAGTAAAAACAAAGAGAACGTTACGTGCGCTCTGGCCTAAATCCCCATGTACATTTAAACAAAATGGAGGCTCTTTAGTTTTATTCCAATGGCCATTTGAATATATAAGCTCACCTGCCACGTCAAGGCAAGCCTCAATAGGTGAGTGCTACAGTAGCCATTAGATATGCTGATATCAGCCAAGAATCTCCAGTAAGACAGGAAGGGGTATTTTATAAACCCTTTCACATTTAACCCTTTATAGGGCTTCTACACATACAATAAACTTTGCTGGTATCAGACAAAGTGTAAACATTTCTAATGAGACATGAAGGGGTGTTTTATAAACCCCTACATACTTATTAACCCTAAATAGGGCTATAAAACATACAAATCACCTTGCTGGTATCAGCTAAAAGGCACATTTCTCTGATGAGACAGGAAGGGATGCTGCCCCTAAATACTTAGCAAATTTGGTGCCGAAACCCGGGAATGACGGTTCACTTATTCGGCACTAGAGAATCTGTGCCTCTCGGACTGTGAACGAGTGCTGCAGCAAAGTAAGAAAATGTTTTTATTTTTGCTACCTATTACCTTCACTCTCAGAGCAATGCTTATTCTGTGTCCAGGTAAGTTTATGACTTAAAAATTGTCATTTCCCCAAAACACATTTAAAGGGACATACTATGTTCTGGTGGAATGTCTTGTGAAGGTAGTTTACTAAAGACTACGTCGGTGGGGTCCATGTTATTCTTATTATCTGCCTAGTTTTTTATTTCCTGATCAGAATAAGAATTCCCCTGCACAGGTATACTGACCTGTGTTTAAATTGAAGACACGTTCTGTAAATAAATTCCACTAGTGGTCCTAGTGTTTTACACATATAAAGTACGTTCTTGTCAAAGATAACAGCATTACAGTGTTCTCAGTGCATTTAAAAGCGTGTGGTACATTATTCCGCCTTACAGTAGTTGTACAATGCTTTGTCAAAATTTTACGTTTGATACAAATGGTGAAAAGTTAACAAGGGCATTAAAACATAATAAATCAGGTCTTTACATTTTATATCTGTTAGTAGAGTATTGGTGTGGTCTGCATTTAAGTATTTTGGATGGGGAATTCACAGAGTACTCAGGAGGAATATACTGCCCTAACCATAGTGAAACATCATAAGGACAAAGAGGCAGTTAAAGATGTAAAGAAGCTTCTTAAGAAAGCTAGGATGACTTCTGAGGTCTCCCTCGACCCCCAGATGTGGAAAGAATTCATGACCAATTATAAAGGATGGTTGGAAGACAACAGTTTAGTTATGGTTGCCCAGTAGTAACATGATACTGCAGTAGATTTGACTAAATGTGGTTGTAGAGAAACCACTAGGAATCGGGTACTCTACTACCAGTGGTGGATCCAGAGCCTGATTTCGGGAGGGGCACTTGTAGATTATTTAAAGAAATAATCCAGGCACAATAACCACTACAGCTCAGTGTAGTAGTTATGACGCCAGTAGTGCCAGGATCCCATCCCAGAGTAAGTAGTAAAACTGTGTAAGAACAGTTTGACAACTTACCTGGGGTCTGCTGGGATATAGGGCATAGGAGTAGGGGTGAAGTGTGTGTGTTAGGGGTGAAGTGTGTGTGAAAGGTGCAGTGTGTGTGCGAGTGCGTGAACGCGGCAATGTATGTCAGGGTTGCAGTGTGTGTGTGTTAGGGGGCAGTGTATTTGTGGGGCAGTGTGTGTATGGGGGGCACACTGCCCCACAAATAGACAGGGCCCTGAGCAGGATGAGAACTGGGCCTAAATACCCCTCCTCTGGATCTGATAGGGCAGTGTGTGTAGTGTGTGTATGGGGGCAGTGTTTGTGGGGCAGTGTGTGTATGGGGGCAGTGTTTGTGGGGCAGTGTGTGTAGTGTGTGTATGGGGGCAGTGTGTGTATGGGGCAGTGTGTGTTTGTGGGGCAGTGTGTGTAGTGTGTGTATGGGGGCAGTGTGTGTAGTGTGTGTATGGGGGCAGTGTTTGTGGGGCAGTGTGTGTATGGGGGCAGTGTTTTGTAGGGCAGCGTGTTTAGTGTGTGTATGAGGGCAGTGTTTGTGAGACAGTGTGTGTATGAGGGCAGTGTTTGTGAGACAGTGTGTGAAGTGTGTGTATGGGGGCAGTGTTTGTAGGGCAGTGTGTGTAGTGTGTGTATAGGGGCAGTGTTTGTAGGGCAGTGTTTGTGGGTCAGTGTGTGTGTAGTGTGTGTATGGGGGGCAATGTTTGTGGGTCAGTGTGTGTAGTGTGTGTATGGGGGCAGTGTTTGTGGGGCAGTGTGTGTAGTGTGTGTATGGGAGCAGTGTGTGTAGTATGTGTATGGGGGGCAGTGTGTGTAGTGTGTGTTTGTGGGGCAGTGTGTGCAGCGTGTGCATGGGGCAGTGTGTGCATGGGGACAGTGTGTGCATGGGGTCAGTGTGTGTATGGGGGCAGTGTGTGTTGTGGGGCAGTGTGTGTAGTGTGTGTATGGGGCAGTGTGTGTAGTGTGTGTGTATGGGGGCAGTGTGTGTTTGTGGTGCAGTGTGTGTAGTATGTGTATGGGGGCAGTGTGTATAGTGTGTGTGTATGGGGGCCGTGTGTGTTTGTGGGGCAGTGTGTATAGTGTGTGTATGGGGCAGTGTGTTTATGGGGGCAGTGTGTGTATGTGGCAGTGTGTGTATGGGGGCAGTGTGTGTTTGTGGGGCAGTGTGTGTATGGGGGCAGTGTGTGTAGTGTGTGTATGGGGGCAGTGTTTGTATGGGGGGAAGGAGGCTTTTTAATATTTAATTTTTTTATTTAATAAAAATAAATATAGATTTTACATTGCTCAAACCTCTTGTTTGCAATGGAAATCCCTGGTGGTCCCAGTGGCTAAGCTCCCGGGTCCTGCCGGCTGCCAGCACGGTGCCTGCGGACCAAGGAGGGAGATCATTGAGGGAAGGAGATCTCCCTCCTCGGTCCGCAGGCACATTGCAGGGCTGGCACTTGGACAATGCCAGCCCTGCGTTAGCCAGCAGGGGAGAATCTCGGGGGGGGGACAACGGGGCAATTCCCTGGATCCACCACTGTCTACTACTAATGTTTTGGCACCTTAGGATCCAGCTCTACAGCTATAGCCCCTAGTACCTCATACAACCCACCACCTTACCCGGGTAAGGATGAGGGTGACCCTAAGTCGTGTCTCAAACAGACCCCTCAAGTTCCTGTTCTCCACTACTAATCCAGTTACTGAAAAATCTTACTGGATTTGTCCAAGACAAATTTTTTACTGTTTTATGGATGGTCTACACCTTCCCTTCCGCACTGCCCTTCAGGCAGCTCACCCTGAATGGAGGGGACTGTCAGGATTACAGTATGATCCAGCACGTAGAATTGTGTAACACATAGGACTTAGAATGGCCGGACTAACGTACCAAAGAATAGTCAGGAATAGCCGAGGTCAAGGGACACAGAAAGAGACCCACGATAAGGAAAAGCCAGGAGTCTGGGATGCCAGAAAACAGGGAAGTCAATAAACAATGCCAAAGTCAAATTACCAGAATAACCAGAATCAAAAATGCGCTCTCGGACAACCACAAGGGAAACCACGACAGGGCCCTGAGCAGGATGAGAACTGGGCCTAAATACCCCTCCTCTGGATCTGATAGGGTGTAATCGGCCTTTGACCCCAAAGGCAGTTACCAGGTTCCCATTAGCATAATTGCTGCTCAGCACAAACCCTGCTGTGGATTTGATTGCTGCTCGGCACAACTTTTCCTGTCAGGATAGTAATGTTGTTCGGCACAACTTTTCCTGTCTGAACAGTAAATTCCATTAATCACATTTTTATAAGCAGATAAATACGTGACATTACCCCCCACCTAAAGAACGAGCACTGGGTGGGCAGGACCAGAATTGAGAGGAAATTTGGTGTGAAAATAGCGAATCAGTGGCCAGCATGTATATCAGATGCCAGAACCCAAGAACGATCGGCTTTCCATAACGTTTCAAATCCACCGAGTACTGTAAAGTGCCTCGAGAAAACATGGAATATATTTACTCTTCCTGTCCAGAAACAACTAAGGGAGGAGGAGGGACACTTGAGACAGTATATTTATTGCAAACAAGAGGTTTGAGCAAGGACACATGAAAGGAATTAGGAAATTTCAAGGAGGCCCGAAGAGCCAGAGAGTACGCAACAGGATTGATCCTACGAAGGACACGAAAAGGTCCAAGGAACCTAGGAGCAAATTTCATGCTAGGGACTTTGAGCCTGATGTTACGAGAAGATAACCAAACCCTCTCACCCACTTGGTAAACAGGGTTGGCACCTTGATGTGTATCAGCATAATGCTTGAAATGGTCAGCAGCAGTACCCAGAGCAGATTGAACTTTAACCCAGGTTTCACGGATGGAAGCCAGACGGCCATCCAAAGCAGGAATAGCCGTATAAAAAAAAAACAGCCGATAGGACAGTAGGATGCCGGCCATTATTAACAAAAAATGGACTATGCCCAGAGGAGTCATGGTCAGCATTGTTCCTAGCAAACTCGGCCCATGGTAGTTGTTACAGAGACCCCCTATGTCTACTACAAGACCGCTACTTTTGGATACTTTTATAATATTGCTACTTTTGTTACTGCATGGATACTTTTCTATAACTGTTTATCCGAACGAGCCTTGTCCTCCATTCGTATGTACGAATAGCCGATCATCCGGCCCTTGTCGTGTGTCGCCAATTAACCCCGTTCACCTCTGAAACAACCAAAGGAACTGGCGAATGGCTGACCACACTGAGCGAAGAGTGTGCTGACAATCAACCTGCCGGGAGCTGTGGTTTGTGGTTAACCGCAGCCTAATTGACTAGCATCGGGGTGGTTACCATCCATATACAGTTGGTCGAAAAGGGGTACCTAACGAACCAA